ATCCAGCCGGTTTTGAATGTGAACAAACGAAGTGTGTATGTATGTATGTATGTATGTACGTATGTACGTATGTATGTATGTATGTATGTATGTATGTATGTATGTATGTATGTATGTATGTATGTATGTATGTATGTATGTATGTATGTATGTATGTATGTATTTATGTATGTATGTATGTATGTATGTATGTATGTATGTATGTTTTTTTGTTTGTATAAGCGTGCCTGCGCCTACCTCTTACGAATGTGCGTAAGAACGTGTGTACTTGATTATAGAATAATAAATGACTTTGGAGAAGTAGATACATTTGTCTGGTCATTTCTGTTGTTGTTATTATTATGAATGATAATTTGGTTGTAATAGCAATATTATTTTTTTAAATGTTGTTTAAACGTTTTTTGTTGTCTTTATTGATTTTTTTTGCTATTGTTATTATTGTGAAAATTATTATGTTTATTTTGTTGTTATAATTAATTTTGTTTATGTTATTATTATTATTATTATTATTATTATTATTGATATTGTTATTTCGATTTGAATCATTACCATCGTCATTCATCTTCGTGACAACCTTTATTTTAACTCACAACAAATTTTCCTGGTTGTATTTTCCGGTATCCATAAGTTTGTGTGAATGTTTGTGTTTTTTGTGTATGTTAGTATTTTTGCATGTCTGTGTTTTTGTTTATTTGTGTGTTTATATATTTGTGTGTTCGCGTGATTGTATATGTGTGTTTGTTTATGAACTTGTTTGTTTGTATGCACGTGTGTGTTTCTATTGTTGTATGTTTATTTGCTTGTTTGTATGTCCGTGTGTTTTGCGTGTATGTGAGTATGTTTAAATATATTTTTGTATTGCTTGGATTTTTTAGTTTTCCGTATATAGTGAAAGTTCATTGCTGTCATAATAATGCACCGATTTAAAGATATACAAACATCATCATGCATGCTATCATAGTCAGATATACATACATAAAATGTTACATGAAAACATACATATTTGTAAAAGTACATGAAAACATACATACATATATGCAAACAGACATACACACATATATACAAACAAACAGACGTACATACATACATACGCATGCAAACAAACATACACATAGATTTTTATAAGTAAACTTCCCTCCGTTCATGTTCACGTTTGATTC